TCAGTTTTCGTTATTTTAGTACTTTCATTTCAATTTTCAATTAGTTGCCAAGGTAACATTTCTACTTTTTAAGTTTTAGTTTTTCATCTAATATGCTTATTTTTTATTATTTTTTTTAATTCAGTTTTATTTGAAATAACACCAGCTATTTTGATTAATTTTAGTTTTAGTTAACACTGATCTTTTATTTTTTACTTCAAAACAAGAACATAATGATTCCATATCTAGTAATACGGAATTAATTATTCAAAATGATTCTGAGAGTTACACTTCATTCTGTAGTAATCAATTAAACAGCCATTTTTAAATTAATTTTTAAAACATTAAAAAATCATTTTACACAGCAAAACTATTGCAAAACTGCAAATGGTGCATTATAACAAATTTTCTCTAATATATTCATATGACCTTTAACCTAAAAAACTGCCCATGCTATCTATCAACTACCCACTTACATCAATTCTACAACTGCACATACATCCATGCACATCCTGATCCTGATTCCTGATGACAAGTTCAACAAACAACATTTTTCTGACTGTGAATGAAGCGAGGGGACGAACTGAGCTTTTGCCTCTTCGCAACCAAGCTCTGTCCGATCTCATAAGAAAACATACTACTCAACTCAACGTTACCATGACAACCATTCTCGAATTCTAATGTGATGTTTTGGGAACTTAAAAAAGGGAAGCTTTGGGAGTCTCCAAACATATGGATGAATAACAAGTTAGAAGGGGAATGTGTGAGCACGAACCAAAAAATATCCTGGCATGAGCTGCAAAGAGCAATGGTCTGCAATGCAATGGTTTGTTTAGTATTTGACAAGCCGACCTTGCATTTACAAAACAAAGCAGCCTCACTCTGGAATACATGATTGCCGGAAGTTGAAGTACATTTGATTGACAGCACTTACTGAATACGTTTGTCAATTCTGAATCACATTTGAAAAGACCAGGCTCACTTTAGAAAACCACTAGTCGGTAAAATGCTGCGGCATTTAATCATTAACTTTTAATGAAAATATGCACCTACAATGTGAAAATCATCAGAAATGCCATTTGTTTGATGTCATTTTATAAATGAGCTAACCTGGAGCACTTAAAAGCAACAGCATTGTGAAAAATCAGTGTTAATTTGACACAAAGCACATAATAGGCAAGAAGAGAATGTAAAAAATATTGTCAGCATGAATAGCGAAATATAATTCAACCGTTACAGGTGTGTGATGTCTAAATGTTATGAAACAGTCCCCCTGTAGAGAAATCCAGGTCTATTCAGCAGCAGGCAGAATATAATCAGAACATATAATTGACTGCACAATAGCACAATTTTTAACTTTTTTTGCCTATAAAATGAAAGGCAGTGGGTGCCAAAACAGCAGTGGACAAAATTAAGGGGGTGGGGTGGGGGGTCATACAGGTTTGAAACAACGTGATGGTGAGGAAATGTTGACAGAATTTTATTTTTTATGTAATTTCTTAGAAAATAATTGTCTTTAAAAAAAATACATTTAAATAAATAAATTGAACCCTAGTCATTTAAATAAATGTCTAGGGTTCAATACAAGCTAAGGTCTTCTGAATCGCCTCTTACAAAAAGAGTCTGTACAGAAAGTCTATGGGGAAAGGCCAAAATAAAACACATATTAAAATACACACCATTTAGGAACTAATAGCCGAAAAGTCACAAGACTGTATGTGTTAAAGGGGTCATATGATGCTGCTAAAAAGAATATTATTTTGTGTATTTGGTGTAATGAAATGTGTTTATGCGGTTTAAGGTTCAAAAAAACACATTATTTTCCACATACTGTACATTATTGTTTCTCCTCTATGCCCCGCCTTTCTGAAACGCGTCGATTTTTACAAAGCTCATCGGTCTGAAACGCGAGGTGTGCTCTGATTGGCCAGCTATCCAGTGCGTTGTGATTGGCCGAATACCTCAAGCATGTGATGGAAATGTTACGCCCCTCACCTTAACACTCCAAAGAGAAAGGAAAAATTAAAATCGTATCATATGACCCCTTTAACATGAGGTTAGTGTGCTAAAATTGCTTACCAGTGTTGTCTACAAACTTATATCGTGATGTAGACATGTGGGGGCGTGTTAGAACGAGCCGTTTTAGGTAGGCGTGGCTGAGTCTTAACTTTTATAAAGAATATCTCTTTGGATTTGAGACTTTAGTCTTTGCAACTTTACAGATCTTCTTTATGCACCAAGAGCTTGTAACACTCCAAAGAGAAAGGAAAAATTTAAATCGTATCATATGACCCCTTTAACATGAGGTTAGTGTGCTAAAATTGCTTACCAGTTTTGTCTACAAACTTATATCCATTTAACTTCTGTCATAACTATTTAAATCTGGAAAAGCTGGTTTTTGCACAATTTGCACAAGGATACCATAAAAGTCTTTAACGTACAGTAACCTTATGCAAAGAGAAATCATGTCAAATGCATAACAGGACATTCATATGCCTAGAACAGTAGTGTCACCAATTACAGAATCATTTAGACAAGTTTACAGCTCAAATAACCTGAAATTATAAATTATAATTATAATATAAGTGCATTTATTTATCATTAAAAAAGTGCTTGTATCTTTGTGAAATGTTAACTATATTATCGGCCGGCTCTAATCTGCTAAGACATGAAGATATTATAAACAACGTCACGATTTTTTGTTAAGCTGATTTGAATATATATACTGTAAAAAGCACTGTATAAATACATTTTGACATTACTTGGACAAAAACATTTCTGTATATTTAATGTCACATCCCCAGACTTCCACCACAGAAAACATCCTCTGAGTAAACAAACAGATAAAACACACACTAATTTGGTCTTCAATAACAATGTTAAAAAAGGCATTATCAAAATGATAAGCGATGTCAGAGGTGCAGTGATATCTATCTCAGGTCAACTCATCTGCATGGACGCAGTACCATCCCTGTCTTTGACAGCTGAGCAGCCTCAGACCGCGAGACGTGGACATAATGACCTCAGTGGGAGGCCACAAACATTAGGGACATTTCAGGGACATAAACACGTGATCTCATGAATATGGAAGAAGTAGCTGCCAGAGGGTTTGAACTGTGTTTGCCCAGCATGATGCTGAATAAAGCAGAGTCTCAAAAGGCTGAAGAGAGACGGAGAGAGAGGTAACGAGCGAAACAATAAAGGCCATCAGAAATATGATGCTTTTTATGGATAAGACTTTGCAGGGCATTGGACAAATTCAAAAAAAAATAAAAAAAGAGAGGACAATATCCTTTTCCTCTTCAAGCAGTTGAACTAAATGGTAAACATGTTCCATTCCTAAGCCAGCAGAGGACGGTTAAAACATGCACTTCATTAAAGATTTTTAAGTGTTATAGACTGATTGCACTCCAAAGCAGTAGAGGAATTCACTCTGAAGTCATGCTCCATCAACATACACACAAAATTGAAAGTGAACTGGAGTCCCACAGCGACATGCATGTCAACACCAAACCCTATAAGACTCATTTACATGCATTCAGTAACCTGGACATGCACAACATTTGGATAAGAAGGCTTTACTGTTACCTGACCCCAACCGAATAAAACAATAGCCTTTTCTCTCCGCACAAGTGAGAGGTCGCAGTCGAACTGCATTAAGCTCCCACGGAAAGAAACGGTGCAGCACTTATTCACGAGTCACTGAGCACACGTCACGCTGCTGCCCAGTCAGCGCAGCAATCTCTCCCTCTCTCTCTCCATCTCCAGGTGTTCTGCTCTCCTTCTGTTACTTCTCTTATAAACACACTTAAACCTGCTGGGCTCCATCTCTTTTTTTATGGCTGCACAGCTGCCATTCAGGAAGTTCACAGAATATATACATATACATATATATATACATATATATATATATATACAGTATGTATTTAAATTTTATTTTAAAATTTAAATTCTATTTTCTAATGTTTTACTTTTTTCTTGTTTAAGAATAAACCTGTGAGTTTTATGCTTTACAATTTGCCAATAAATAAAAATAAGTTAATAAAATTACTAAAAATTAAATTACGTTAAAAACACACACGAGTTACAAAAAACAGTCGATTACGTCTGTGAAGGTAAACTGCTGGGAAATAAATCGCATGTTTATTTTAGATCTGTGTGGCAGCAGAAACCTACAGTAAATAAATCAATAAATCCACCGCTCTCGTCTCCTCTGAGGCTGGGACTGTAAATAGTGTTCTGTGCTTGTCTGTGCAGCCAAAGACAGAACAGTTAGCATGTTTTGCTCAATATTTTACTCAATAATTTCTTTGTGTGTTATGTTTTTTGTGTTTTTTTTTTTTTTTGCTGTCCGATGTGGTGTCATCTCGGATTTATACTGACCTCTGCTGATTTTAAACACATTTATGTAATAATTATTTCCTTATGTGTAACACTTGAACTTTGAAATTTTAATTATTTTTAATTCTGGAATACATTTATTTAAAATAATAATAAACTGAGTGCAATTTTAGGTGTGTTAGATTTTTTTAAAAATACGGTTTATGATGTTTGCAGTCTGCTGTTTTTCAAGAGTGTGTCAAGATCTAAACCATCAAAGACAGAAATCTCTCATAAATCACACAGCCTCTTCAGAACCTGAATATTAGAAGCTCCATTAGAGGCAGTGTGGAGATGAATTCACCTAACAGAGGCATTGATTCCAGAGTCCCAAACCGAATCCAAAAGTCTCCACACAGCTCTAAATCGTCCTCACTGGTTTGGTTGGAATTGGTTCATTTCTGTGATGTGGGTAGATTGATTCTTCAGGGTGAGACAAAAATAAGTTGGCATCATTTAAAAGAGTTTCAAGTATCTTGGGATTCGTTTGACATATTCAGTCAAGCCCTTTAAAAATGTATTGAGCAGAGACATGTGCGCAGACACACACACACACACAGAACTCACATAGTCTGAAGTATCAGTACTAACATCAGGATGCAGATCACACAACATGAGTGTTGAAAAATAAAGACGTGAGCATCTCTGAGAAATTCCTTGAAAACCTCACAGCTCCCAAAGGGACTGCAAAGATCCAAAGAGGATCTCAAACATGCAGCAAGCCCTTTTAAGCTTTAGTTCACCCATCATTTACGCACCCTTTTGTTGATGACTTGCTTTCTTCCATGGAATACAAAAGGAGATGTCTAGTAGATTGTTCTGCATACTTTTTCATTTAGTGCATTGGTATGTGGACAAGCACCATCAAGCTCCAAAAATGACTGACTGACAGACAGACAGACAGACAGACAGACGAGACATGTGCGCAGACACACACACACACACAGAACTCACATAGTCTGAAGTATCAGTACTAACATCAGGATGCAGATCACACAACATGAGTGTTGAAAAATAAAGACGTGAGCATCTCTGAGAAATTCCTTGAAAACCTCACAGCTCCCAAAGGGACTGCAAAGATCCAAAGAGGATCTCAAACATGCAGCAAGCCCTTTTAAGCTTTAGTTCACCCATCATTTACGCACCCTTTTGTTGATGACTTGCTTTCTTCCATGGAATACAAAAGGAGATGTCTAGTAGATTGTTCTGCATACTTTTTCATTTAGTGCATTGGTATGTGGACAAGCACCATCAAGCTCCAAAAATGACTGACTGATAGACAGACAGACAGACAGATAGATAGATAGCTTTCATTTTAGGCTACAATTAATCCCTATTCATGGCACAATATATTACAGCTTCTCCTACAGCTACAGATGGTGAGTTAGAGGTTTACAGTGAGCTTGACTTTATATTGAGGACCACCAAGATGGGATTGTGAGCGTGCTAAAAATAGCAGTCTGTCATTGTAGTGTGTTACAGATTTTGTGCAGAGCTGCCACTTCTGGGTTGAAGGTAAACTCAAAGATGCTGGAGCAAAGTTTGAACTCAAAACTCATACTAGAGAGGATTTTCCTTCTGACATCCTCCATTGCTTTATTTAAGAGCATTTCTCTATCGAAAGAAACATGTCCTGATATAAAGAAGATGCTCTGATGTTCACAGGTTGACTCGGAAGGCCAGGATCCCTCAGTGAGCTTAAAACTAGTGTCACAGTCACAGGAGTCGCATTTACTGAAGAAACTGCTCAGTGAAGGATTAGGTTTATTTTTGCCTCCAACCAAGAGTTTCTCTTTAGATGCTGCTGAAGCTAGTTGATATTTCCATTGTGCAAATAAAGGAAGTGTAACTGACTTTGGGCTCTACGGTTCGACCTTATTTCCACCATTAGCATATTATGATAAACAGAAGCCCACACAACGTTCCTTTTGCAGCTCAGAGGGCGGACAAACCTGCCTGCCTCTGCCTTCACTTCTGCCAAAAAAACTACTGTTGGCAGGTAATTAAAGTAGCATTTATTATGCACAAATGAAAAGCAGCCCATTAAAAATCACAGTGTTTAGGAGCTTCGCTGAGGGTGGATCTCGCTCTGTTCATTTCTCTCTTTGTCTCTCTGATCAAGAGAAAATAACAGGTTTGTCTCATCCTGTGCCTGGTGGCTTTTACCTACATGTACAAAATCCCCTACACAGCGGCCCAGTAAACATAAAACCAGAGTGAATGACCAATGTGGTCTCAATCAGTTTCTCTCAAATGAAAAAGTGCAAGAAAGTTTCTGTAACTGTCTAAAGGTCATGAATATCTAATGAGGCAAGTGCTTTATTGTTTGTGATTGGCTATCTGTTGCCAAACAACTTTTCATAACATTCAAGCACTGCACTGTTTCACAGAAAAATACCTTTGGTGCCACAATTCGAGGTTCATAACAGCATCAACAATCCTAAAAACTAAAATTACATGTGTGAAGCACTAATGTGTTAAAGTGTTAAAAAGGACATATAAATCATAATTCTAAAAAAAAAAAAGAGAAATAAACAGTCGTTCAAAAGTTAGTGGTCGGTAAATGTTTCTGAAAGACGTCTCTTCTGCTCATTAAAGCAACATTTATTTGATAAAAAATACAGTAAAAACAGTAATATTGTGAAATATTATTACAAATTAAAAGAACTTGTCTATTTTAATATACTGTATTTTAAAATGTAATTTATTCCTTATTTTTATTTATTATTTTTTAAATGTATATTATATGAATAATGTTTTTCAGTTTAACGAGTTAAAAATAATTAATGCAGCATCTATTTTTTCCATGGCATCCCTTTGGCTACCGTTACAGATATGAACACAATATTGAGCATGATAAGATGCAAAAAAAGAACTTAAAAGAGAATATAAATTTATAAGAGAATATAAATGTACTATATTAATATGCGATTAATAGCTATCAGTTACAGAAAAATGTGATTAATCAGATTTTTTTTAAAACAACTGACAGAACTAATTTCTTATTATTTTTCTTTTTTTATATATAAAAAAATTATTTGTAAAAATCGTGATACATTTTTTATCAATAGAAATGTCAAAAGAACAGCATTTATTTGAAATAGAAATCTTTTGTAACATTATAAACATTGTTTACTGTCACATTTGATAAATTCCTTTCTAAATAAAAGTATTAATTTCTTTAAAAAAAAGCTTATTGACCCCAAACTTTTAAACAGTAGTGTAATTATTGTGGTACCTCTATAGTTCCCTGGTCCAGAGGAAAGCTACAGTAAAAGTTTTCCATCTCCGAGCAGCTACAGGAACACACTCGGCGTCTTAAATGGGATTGGATCAGACAGCATAATCATACAGTATTCCTCATGGGCTGATGTGTCTAAAGCTTCCACCACCTTAAAATGCTGTGAAATTGAAATGTGAAATTCATAGTAAGCCACTGCCGGCGTTAAGCTTAATGTGTGAAATAGTGTTTGCCTTTGGGGCCCGTGGCACATTCATGAACTGAAAAAGGGAAAATGACACATAACAGTGTGACCACTTTCAGCCCAGCTTAGAGATGACACCATCAGTGAGGCTAAAAAAACTATCAGCTAGAACTCTGACAGCAATGATTAAAAACATTACATTGTTTTATATATTTTTCAAAACCATCAGAAGTGAATTCAGAGGAAACATCAATGCATCTCTGCGCTAGTCTCAGCCTCGAGGGCCATTCACAATGACAGCGGTTAAATCGATAGAGGTCGTACAGTCACTGTACTGTGGGCTGCTAGCAAGCGTTCGCACTCGCCTGAGCTTTACACCCATTGATAGCTTCTGTGTCACGTTGTTGTGCATTTGCGTAACACATCAGATTGACATCTGTCACTAAACAAAAATCCCACTTTTGTCTGCAAGTTCGAGCTCAATCACAAGTATGCAGCCAACTCATAATTTTGCTGCTCTCTTAAGATGATGCATTATGCACATATATATAAAAAAAAATTGTGTTGTGCAAGAGGACAAAAGCATTACTACCTCAAACACCAGAGACCATTCAGATGATAATGTGTGGGTCGTCCTTCTGCATTCACATAACACTGGATGAATGTGTGGGAACTTACGCAACAGCATGAGTAACACCGTCTTATGGACAGAAGAAAGGCTCTGCCTAAAAAAATCCACCCATCTATTTATTTATTTGATGTGGCATACACCCACTCCGTATTATTCATGCAACATGATTTTTTTTTTACAATGACCTAAATCAGTTTAGCTCTTTCTGAGTCACCGGCCTGATTCACCATGA